ATAAATTATTAAAGAAAAGATCCGAGCTCATCTCAAAATGCAGGCATGAAAATAAATTTTACTACGTAACCTAAAAAAATGAAAAACGGAAAAAATAAAAACAAACAAATACACTAATAAAAAAATAAAATAAAATAAAATAAAATAAAATATAATAAATAAATACTATGTTGCTTAAAAACCGAAAACCGAAAATAAAAAATATACAAATAAATTGACCTAAATTCATCCACGTAAATAGACAAACCAATCCCAAATTAAAAACTGTTCCCGCCAAAAAATAATAGTAAGAATGAACTACAACAACCAATCCAAAAATTGAACAAATAGCTTTAATTAAATTCTCAAACCAAAACAAAACTGTTAAATACGTGATATAAACAAATTTTTACTACGTTAATAAATAAATAAATAAAATAAGAAACAAAAAAATAAAAACGAGCAATATAATTTGACCCAAATAAATAAACAAAGCGACTTCCGGTAAAAAATAACCGCCATAATACAATACCCACAATGCACCACTAACCCGTATATATATAAATAGCCGAGAAAAATAACAGCATATGTGGCCTGACGATTGCATATAGCATGAAACAGACTGTCGCCTCTAAGTGTTGACTTCTATGTTCACTTTTATATTCACACACGCTCTATCTCTCATATTGAGCACTTTATCCCATAAATATAGCAAACCTTAAGACTATATTCCTTTATATATATTAATATATATTTATATATATATATATATATATATATATATATATATATTACGTTTGATGTGCAACTCATTTGCTGCACTTAAACCACGGTATTGAACTCTGAATCAGCGTCCATCCCATGGGCTTCTGTAGACTTTTTCCCAAAATAAACAATAAGCTATATCTCGTGCCCGATGAGTTGGGTGACTAACGAAACACGAGTTGCACATCAAACGTAGGTATATATGTATTTATTAATATATATTTCTTATCTCTGTCTAATCACATTGAACACTATTATCTCTACACCTCTTGGCTAAATTTGATAATTATTTATTTTCACGCCAGCATACGCCTATACGTTCGCCAATATCTAGTTATCTCATTTACCTAACTCTAAACCTACATATGTATATATATTATGAAATGGGAAAAGTCCGACAATTATTTTAATTTTTATTTTATCTATAAAAAGAACGTATAAACATAAAAAATGTTTTAATATATATATATATATATATATATATGATAAATGACTGATGCAAGATAACAAACACACACACACAGACATATGATAAATGATTGATGCGAGATAACAGAACAAGCACGTAAAAAATGATATACGTCAAAACCAGTTGGATGTTGAACATTTTCATAAATTCATTCAGTCGTTTTAACGAAACATATATATATATATATATATATATATATATAAATATAAAAGTGAACGTGTGGCCTGACGATTGCATATAGCATGAAACAGACTGTCGCCTCTAAGTGTTGACTTTTAAGTTCACTTTTATATTTACACACGCTCTATCTCTGATATTGAGCACTTTATTCCATAAATATAGCAAACCTTAAGACTATATTTCTTTATATATATATATATATATATATATATATATATATTTTAAGCGTTTCACCCCAAGCAAGGCGGGGGAAGCCACTAGGACGCAAAGGGTTACAGAAGATTTGGAGCAAGATCAGATAGGAGTGATAGAAGAAAGGATGAGGAGAAGGATAGTGGATAGATCAAGGTAAATGGAGATGTCAATTGACATTACATTTAAATAGCTGGAGATTATAGCTCTCAGGGAAACTGGACTAGGAAAGGGAGTTCCACAGGCGAGAGGTGCGAGACATGAAGCTATTGGAGTAGAAGAGACGGCTAGATTTAGTAGTTTCTACAGTGAAGGGGTGAGAGCGGGATGCCAGCCTCGTAGGTCGCTTGATTTATATATATATATATATATATATATATATATATATGTGTGTGTGTGTGTGTGTGTGTGTGTGTGTGTGTGTGTGTGTGTGTGTGTGTGTATCGTTAAAGACTACTGACAAGTTACTGCGATTACTTTTCATTTCATTTTTCGTGTAAGTGTTTTCTTTTCTGGACACAAAATGTGTAAAAACTGTCCAAATGTTCTACATTTCCGAGCGCTTTCGGCTTCACATTTAACCATTATTAAGGATGATTTTATTTTTTAACGGAATGTATGTGTTGTGTGTATGTATCTAGAGTTATAGGGATGTTTTATTTTCCAAACACAGTCAGCGCATTGTGGCCGTGTTCTTAGTTAATGTTTTCTTTTTTTATTATTAGGGCTTCCATTATTTTTAATCTTTTGTTACATGCGGATGAAATTATTATGCTTGTATTTTCTACTAGTATGTTTCGGATGGAGTCTATTAGGTTTGTGTGTGTGTATGCCCTAAGGAACTGTGGTCCTGATCAAACTAAACTCATAAATAATTACATCGGTCACACTACTGCATCCCTATCCAGACGGCTTACGTTACACCTATCAGACCACAGCTCCATTAGAACTCATTTAAACACACACACTAGCCTTTCGTCCGACGCTTCGTCAGAAGAAAAATCGTTGGAATTAAGAAAACTACTGAAAGGAAACAAACCTCCTTGCAATAGAATTATGAGAGACAAGGGAGAAATGAAGGAAAAAGAATTTCCCAGAATAAGACAAAGACACGCCAAGTTTATGTTTTAGCTACCTCTGCCTACATAGAGTAAGACAAGATGTGTTGATAACAACTGCCTCCAAGGTGTTAAGATGGTGTCTCATTGATTAGTTCTACCCACATAGTCGGCCTCACACCGAGACTTAAAATGATAAATAACAGAACTTTGTTGATTGGTGGAAAAACATATCCTTATGCACTGATGGAAAAAGCCGAGATTTTTTTTATATATACTAAGGATGTTACTTCGTTTGACAACCGGATCAATAACCAACCAAAAAATGCGTGATTTCATTTGTGACAGTCTAATATAATTTTTTTTCTTTTTTAAGCATTTCACCCAAGCAAAGCGGAAATGCCACGAGCACGCAAGGGGTTACAGAGAGTGAAATTAAGAGTAAAGAGATGTGTTTGAGGAAAGGATATTGAGAAGGACGGGCATCAGGATCAAATCATCAGAAAATATCGATTGAGATTACATTTGAATATTTAAAGGTTATAGATATCAGGGAAGCAAATAAGAGGAAAGGAATTCCACTGGCGGGAAGTGCGAGAGAAGAAGCTGTTGAAGTAGAAGAGGCGGTTACATTTAACTGTTTCGTCATGAGAGGGTTGGATCAAGATGCCAGCCTAGTTGCATGCAGTTGGGGTACCAGTGAAAGTAGCTCGTCAGAGCAGTTGCCATGAAGATATTTGTTGAAAAGACAGAGGGAAACCACAGAACGTCTGTGAGAAAATGACTGTTGACGAGATGCCAGATCAGGACCTATCACATTGCATATCAGTCTCTGGATTTTGTCGAGGACCTCGAGATGAACAGCGGGGGCACCAGACCATATATGGCAACAGTCTTCAATGCAAGGACGAATGGTAGATTTGAAAGATTGACTCAGGCGAGAAAAACCTTCTGGCGCATTACAGAGAACCAACTTTTCCTTGCGGTAGATGAAGCTTTTGATTCAATGTCGTTCTATCACTTCCTTCATTTATACAGTTTTATTATACTATTCTTCTCCCAATACAAGGCACTTCTGTCTTGAATTCGTTTTCAGTAACCTCTGGATTGGATTTACTGAATCAAATATTACATTTTAAGGCGGTCAATATAATTTTTTCCCCACAAAGAAAATCTAAACTTCAAGAAACGCGAAAAATGTTAATGGATGCTGATTGCTTCAAGGCATTCATTTTCAATCCTTTTCGTCCGTGCACCTTTTTAATCAAATTTTTAAATGTCTTTTCACTCTTCCAATATTCTACGAGGCCAAAAATTGCAATGCACAAATGCAGAAAGAGCGATTTTCAGAATAACCATCTTTGGATTTTTATCGAGGTCTCGAGATGAACGGCGCGGGCACCAGACCATATATGGAAACAGTATTCAATGCAAGGTCGAATGGTAGATTGGTAAGATTACATGGAAATATTTTAATTATTTCACAACCACACAGACCACCATACAGTAACCATTAACTTTTTAGGGCGCAGTGGAGGTTTTGGGGATTGTCTTGGTGATTCACTTGCATCTAACAACTCGCCTGCTCTCTTACTGTTGTCAAAAAGTATCCATTTCTCATCGCATGTAATGATTCGATGCAAAAATCGTTCTTTTACCCTGTTTATACTCATACATTGCTTCATTGGAATCATTTTCATTGGAGTTATTTATGAACATATTGAAAGAAAAATTATCTGATAAGAAAAAGAGTCGGGAAGAAGTCGAGATTATTTTTTATATACTAAGGAGGTTAGTTCATTAGACGATCATTTCAACAACCAACCAAAAAATGTGTTATTTCATGTGTGACAACCTAATATAACATTGCTAAGACTTTATGAAAATATTTTCGATTTTGTTAAAACATTTTAATTAAACATTCAGGGACATTTTTAGTTTCATTTCGTCGAGGACTTATTATAGTTTGAAAGACTTGTTTTTAATTATTTTACAATCAAAACTTTTATTAACAACGTTTATTAAATACTCTCATTTTTTTTTTAACGCTACTGGCAAAAATGCATCGCTAAAGGTTTGATTCGATTGATTTGTTTTTACGGCTTATCAACCTTTTGCAGGTTATTTAAAACCAGAAAATATTTTTAGATTGTAATACTTTTTGTTTTGTTTTTGTTTCTTGATATGATAATGATGTACTGATACAATTCCTACTAATTAACCCATATCTGGGGGGAGAAGAGGTGGATCCATATTTTTCCCAAGAGTATTTGCGCGTAAGTGAATATAACGAACCCAACTGAAATTTTAATTAACAATTCCGAGTAATTATCCATTACACCACCCACACATCCAAGCTTACAGCATCTGATGTTGACAAGCAGTCATTCATGTAGGTACTGACCAGGCTCGACGTTGCTTAACTTCGGTGATCGTACAGGAGCCAGTGTTTCAACGTGATTTGGCCGTAAGCTGCATCACTAAAGGGGGTGATTATGCGTAAATAGGGTTTTGTAGCCGAAAACGTGCTCTGCCCAATTGTATTTCGCCGTATCTGATGTGGTTGGTGTGAAAATAAAAAAAATAAATGTATATTTAATTTAATTTGTTAATTATATATTCGCGGATGCTGAAAAGTTCTTGACTCGAATGACTTCCCAAAACCTGTAGTTTAATGACTAATTAAAATTAGTGTGCTAATTTAGTGTTGTAGCATACTTACGATTGATAATGGGCATGTCCTCATTCACATAAATACAGTAGTAAATACTGTATGTTGGTCTCCAGTCGGAGATTCATGGTAGAATTCATTTGACTCATTTCTAGCAGTTGACTACTTCTTTTACGCGCCACTTGTGAATTTTATGTGTTGTTTTTGTCCTAAGTATTATTGTTCATTACCAACCTTTGTGTGATTATTCTAGTCAGTAACCTTCCCTATAACATTTAGAGAAGTGGGTTGGGTCGAAAAGATTTTCAGTACCCTCCTGTAAGTATCTGTCTTTCTCTTTGTTTATATATATATATATATATATATATATATTATTATTATTATTAATAGGACCCCTCTATTTATTAATTTTACATTATATATATATATATATATGTATATGCGCGCGCGCGTGTGTGTGTGTGTTTCAAATAAGTTTTATTGAAGATAACAGATACATTATATGTCTTAAATTTTAAATTTAAATTTAAAGCATTTATTATTGTTAATACATTAATTTGTACCTATTGTAACGTTGGCCAAACTTTATGTAAATAGACAAAAAAAGTCAACAGCTTGCTCTCCTTTGATACATAACAGTTCACAGGCCACCAGGGGGCGACACTGGTGAATTAGTTATTACTATTTTTCTTCAGAGTTATAATTCTGGTTCAATAAAATAAATAAATAAAAAAAATCACAAGGCATAACAAGCGCACTACAAACTATTGGTCTTCGGAATTGTGGGACTGAATCTGCGCCGTCTGTTTGTTGTGAATTCGTAACCGCCTCATGGTTTCTTTGAATCGATGAAAGTTATAAATCAACGGGCCGATTTGCACGAGATCCTCACCTACTGTAGCTTGTACGTCCGGCAAGGTATTTATCTTCCTGAGTAGCGTGGCCTGGCAAGATAACAACAAGATTTAAAAAAAAAAAAAGAGAAAATAGAAAAGTAAAATGATCGGAGTAGGAAACCCTCAAGAAGCTATCCATTTTAATTCAAAGCAAATCATAATTCCCGAAATCACTCATATTAGGCATTCTAAAAACATCAGGTCCATCTACATCAGGTCCAATCGGCATTACAATGGTTTAAAATTTGAAACAATTACATCACGTTCAAATGACATCACAAACATTCAAAACTTAAAATTCAAAATCATCGGAAGGACGCTAATAATCACGAAACAAATCTTCGAAATTTTTTTAATTGCATACTTTCTTGAGAAAGACTGAAGCTAGGAATCGTGAAGACTAAAAAGACAGCGGATTTCAATGCCAAGATACAGAAATCAACAATAATAATAATCAACAATAATAAATGCATTAAATTTGAAATATAACAGATATAATGTATCTGTTATCTTCAATAAAACTTACTTGAACACACAAACACACACGCACACACACAGATATATATTAAGACATGTCTCATTAGATAATTTAGACAAGTTTTGTCTACTTTTTTTTTAATAGAATCCTCTCGTAATTACGGACAAGTTTCTTAGTATCCTTATTAAGGAAAGAAAGATATACGTCTAGTCTTGAAAATAACATATTTAATCAATTTAAAAATCCTTCATCTACCTAAGATGAAATCCTTATATTATTGAAAAATATGGATGAAATATATCAACTCCAAAAATAATTTTGTACATATAAACTTAATAATAGTAATAAAATTCCTGTTCTAGATATATTGATAAACACTAATAATAATAAATTCATTATCTCTAGCATAAATTTGTGCACTCTTAACTATAAGAGGGAATGTTCCAATTACTATAAAATAGTAATTATAAAAAACCTAATAAACCGTGCAAAAAATAATTCATTTGCAAGACAGATTTTCTACAATGAACTAAAAAAATAAAACAAATTCTAATTAATAATAACATCCTTAATTAAATCGTTGATGAACAAATAAAATGTTCTATTTAATATAAAGCAAATAGAATATAACACTTTTTCAGTGCGTTTGTCGTTTGTTTTACATCATAAAAATTAAAAATCGAAAAGTACATAACCTTAGCGTTTTTCACTTCACAAGTAAAAATTTAATTTTCAGATGAACACAATTTTGTCTGAGAAAAATGATGAACACAACAATTTTTGTCTTAGAAAAAACAAGACCCTGATGATGACATTGTGCTAATGTCGAAAGTACTCGGAATAAAATGAACATAGGAATTTTCTTTCTTCCTTTAACAAGGATACGAAAAAAATTGTCCGTAATTACGAGAGGATCCAATTAAAAATAAGCAGACAAAACTTAGTCTAAATTATTTAATGAGTCATGTGTTAATGGAAACATACAGCCAAAATATACGCAATTATATATATATATATATATATATATATATATATATATAAATACTTAGAGGCGACAGTCTGTTTCATGCTATATGCAATTGTGAGGCCTGACGATTGCATATAGCATGAAACAGCCTGTCCTCTAAGTGTTGACTTCTATGTTCACTTTTATATTTACACAAGCTCTATCTCTGATATTGAGCACTTTATCCCATAAAATAGCACATCTTAAGACTATATTTCTTCATATATATATATATATATATATATATATATATATATATATATATATATGTCTATATTTCTGAGATGAGGTATTATGTACACTATTTACATTATTCGGACTATTGTCCTCATCTTTGTTGCCATACTTATCACAACATTTCGGCCGTTGTATGCTCCGGCTTTCTTCAGGTGGTTGGAATGTCAAACTGAACGCTTTATTTCGTTCACTGGGGTAGACTATATATGGGAACAATATTCTAAGCATGGACGAATGTTGAACTTATAGATATGCAAAATAGATTCCGGAGAGAAAGACACACACACAAACTCGTACACAAAATCGGAGAGCGGAGTTCCAATTCCTGTTGGGTTCGTTATATTTACTTACGCGCAAATACTCCTGGCAAAGGCATGAATCCACCTCTTCTCTGCCGACCCATCTATGGGATAATTACTAAGACTTAAACCATTATTATTTACAAAAACAAAAAAAAATTCTTACCATGTAAAAAATTTTCTGGCTTTAAATTAGCCTGCAAATGGGTTGATATGAATCAATATATATATATATATATATATATATATATATATATATATATATATATATATAAATAAAAGTGCACATTGAAGTCAACACTTAGAGGCGACAGGCTGTTTCATGCTGGACGCAATTGTCAGGCCGCTTAGCCTGAAACAGCCTGTCGCCTCTAAGTGTTGACTTCAATGTTCACTTTTATATTTACACACGCTCTATCTCTGATATTGAGCACTTCATCCCACAAATATAGCACACCTTAAGACTATATTTCTTCATATATATATATATATATATATATATATAAGTCTGATTAAATAAATTACAGACTTTATGTTTGCTAATTTTTAACAAAATCCGTGCATACTCACGAATAATCTTCTGTGTATTAATGTTAAAGGATGAGAGAAATGTGCTATAGCTGTTTAAATTTCGTTTATTTTCATTTCCAAACTACTTTCGATCTTCTTCCAAGATCATCTTCAAGGGTGTAAGTAGTACAAAACTATATGTTGTTTATTAGTACAAGTATTTGTACAAAGTTGTGAGTTGTTATCCATTACCGTAATTTTCTTTCATTAGGCTTTTAAATACGAAACAGTTGACAATGTGCTGAGTCATAGAAACACTCGAACCTAACGGGAAAAACCAAAAAACGAAAGACCACATATGAGAAAAGAAAGAAATACATTAAAATGGTGATCTCCATTTTAACGGAAGTAATTATTTTTTGTCGGTATGTTTATTATGGTATATAAGTGAGTGCAAGTTTTTTATATATATATATATATATATATATATATATATATAATTACTATATATATATATATATATGTGTTAATGTATGTTGGTAAACTGGTGAGCGTGAGTGTCTGCGAACGTGAGTGTATGTGAATGTGTCTACATACATTTTAACGTGTGTGTGTGTGTGTGTGTGTGTGTGTGTGTGAAAGAGGAAGAGAAAGTAAATGAATACGCTAACCTGGTCCTGACTGCAGGTTGTCTGACACACTGCCTTCTTATCGTCGCGAAGAAAACACTTGACGAAGCAATTCTCATCAAATTCGGAAAAAAGTTTCAAAGCGCTGCGAACCGTGATGAATTCGACCGACCCGATCATGATGTAAGGGACGGAAATAGCCGGAGATTGCCGATGTATGTAACCCATTCGTCGGCTCTCGCTGTCATAGAAGCACTCGAGTCTAACGGGGAAAAACATAAAACAAAAGACTACAAATGAGCAAAGAAAGAAATACATTAAAATGGTGATCTCCATTTTAACAGAAATTATTTTTCGTCTGAATGTTTGACACAAGGAATTGTCACAGTTATATACTTTGCTATTCGGCACCTGGTCGAATGGTGGGAACGTTCGCTTTCTGATCATGACAACTGGGTTAGAATCTCACCATGGTCGATTTGTCAGGATGGCGACTTCTTGATGTTATCGGGCTGAGAAAGCGACCCCAGCGCGCGGCACGTTCCGAAAGTGCCTGAAAACCCTACCACACAAGTTGAGCCAAGCATCAGACAGAATTATTTGGGAGTCGTCGATGGTTGTTTTGGCACGGTGTCACAAGTCATTTTGACCGAGGGGTTGAGCATACGTCAGATTACATGATCTCTCCCAGAGACTGTAACTAAGACCCGCTCAGCATAGTCGTATTATAAAACACAGGTGGGCTCCGTAGGTGACTCCAGCATAAATAAATAGATATTAACTATGGACACGGCCGTAACACAAAAATTAGATGCAACTCAAATTCTCAAGCGAAATGCTGTCAAGGAAAATAACGGAAATTTAATGATAACAACCAAGATGTGTCTCCCACACACAGCGACATTTCGGCTATTAAAAGAACGCACCCTGGGTCCATTCCCATGCTTCACATTTTCAACAATGATAAACTGATCTGAATACATCACTGTTTAATGTTCTTCCAAGATAATATTTAATGAAATAAACAGAACGCATTCTGAATATAACATTAAAATAAATACTCCCACAGATTCGCTAAAAAATGAGCATACCATAAGGAAAAAATGCCCGTAACTTAAATAAAACAAACTTTTCTCGTTACAATTTTTATTTTATTATTAAGAGGAAAGAACAAAGAATTTTTGATTATTAAATTATGTTTTTTCATCCTTTTTCGAACGCTCAAAATTTTGGTTAAAATCTTGCTTTTCTTGCCTCAGCAGGGAGACCAGAGATTAGTATGGGAAATTTTCTTTTTTAGATGTGAAAAACAGTTTGAACGGGAAATTCTTTCAAAAATTAACTAGTTGTTGGATTTTAATGAAACTTTCAGGACTTATTCATAAATAACTAAAATTGTTTTGGAAATGTTACCGAAAATCTGCTCTGAATTGTTAAATAACAGACATTATATAATTAGAAAAATCTTTTAATTGATTTTAGATATAATATATTATGAATACTATTGCCGTAAGAAAAAAAAATTCGATGAATAATGAATTTTGATAAGAATTGTTTTAATTTTTTTAAATTTTAATTAGAATAATTTATAAAATTTTAAATCGTTTAAATTTCTGTATTAATTTGTCCCTGTGAAGTGATATTGTTACTAAGTAAAAACTATATTTACTAATCATAAATGAAAAAGTTTATTACAATTCAGCAACCACCAATATTTTAAAAAGAATTTAATTTTTGTGTGTTTTGTGTATAAGCGTGTCGATTTTTGTAAATGCAGGCGTCCATACACGACATTATCAAATTATATTAAATTTAAAGCCAAAGTACCTAAAATTGAATATAAAATTAGATTACTTAGAATATTTTCCTATATTTTATGATTACTGGGTAGTTAAAAATTATATAAAAAAGGCGCTCACATTATATTCCCTAAGAAATTTGACAGATATATCCACCGTAGAAAAAAATTAGATAAAAATCCGTCGATCAGTCATTCTGTCAACACCTTAAACAAACACCTAACTCTGTGTTAAAAAAATGCATTTCTGTGATATTTTAGACTAAAAGTAATATTAACAGGAGATAACTGACATTCATTAAACATGGCACGTGGAACTAGAACAGTCTACCCCAGCGGTTCAGTTCGATATTCCAACCACATGAAGAAGGCCGGAGCGTATAACGGCCGAAACATTATGATAAACATGGCGAGAAAGATGAGGACAATAGTCCGAATAATGTAAATAGTTAAAGATTTTTCTATTTATTTCTAAAGATTGAATTATTGCTATTAAAACATTGGATAAAGGCGTTAGTTAGATCCAGTGACAGGATCAATAAAATGCCAGGAAGAATGGAGAAAACGCAGTGTATAGTCGCCACAAACGGCAACTCGAAAAAGAAGGAAGAGAAAAAACATCTGACTGGTTGTCTTTAGAATTCGAGCGAGGATAAAAAAGGGGGGGGATTACAAAACGAGTCTATTGTCCTCATCTTTGTTGTTGCTATAATCATAACGTTTCGGCCGTTGTGCCATCCAGCCTTCCACGAGTGTGTATCCATCCGGGTAACCTACAGGGAATTCTGAACTCAATCTTTTATTCAATCTCCGGAGGTAGACTGTTCTCGTTTCACTTCTCATATCTCAGGAGATCTTGACGGAGTTAGCTCCTCCTTAATTCCAAAATTGCCACTAGGGGTCATTCTACCTATACTATAAATACTGGGCGACTTCTCGCCTAGTTCTCTTTTTCATTTCTTCATTTCAGCGACTACAATGTAAGCTCTCTTAGAAGATCCGCGTCTTCCCATTGTAAAATTGTTTTTTTTTATATATATATATATATATATATATATATATATATATATATATATATATATATATATCGGTCTTGTTTGTCTTCAGTTCAAGTCTGGCATTTTTTTTGTAGTTGGATCTTTTAATATTCTACCAGGAGTTATACACATGTTTCTAATACAAACTCACATTAACCCACATGGTCCCCTACAATCTCATCTAGTTCTAATTTTATTTAGTACACTTCAGTTATTGCTCGGCCGTTTTCATTGAATGCAAGTACACACTGCCCGACCCAAGGATTGAAATTACAACTACAATGTCACTAAATTCACAAACCAACGCTCTAAATTTACTAGACTAAATTGTACTACTGAACAAAGGCTTAATACATAAAAGCGTCACTTAAATTCAGTATTTGGACATTGATTTCATTTTTATGATTTATAACAACGACATTTAACGTACACTTAATATTTCTTCTACTTTTGATCTGATTCGTTTCGAGTAAAAAAAATAGTAAAGAAAAAAGAACTTTGATAGTTTGGATTTATGTGTTTAAAAAAGAAAAGAAAACAGAATTTCGATCGTTTGAATTATGTGTTTAAAAACAAAATTTACGCAGTATTTAGAACAAATACACAAACATGTTCACACCAAAATGTAACAAGCTTGCGCGGTAAAATAAGACAAAAATAAAATTATAAACAAACTCACATTCAAGTGACTCGAAATAGGTTAGACCCGTGTTGTAGAACATAGGACGCACGCCCAAAAAGGATGCAATTTGAGTTTTAAGGGAGGCAATTCGAGAATGAGTTATTAAAACTAATTTTGGATCTTGCCAAGATTAGCGAACTCACTCCCGGCAGGCTTCCCTATTCTTCACAAGAAGATGTTTACTCCTGTTACTCTTTACATGAAAATAATCGAGTTCGCTGTTCTATACCTTTTCAACTTCAAAATGATAATAATCAACTTCAAAATGGACTTATTTTTAAGTAAAAAAATTAATCAACTTCAAATTGGATAAATCAACTTCAAATTGGAACAATCAACTTCAAAATGGATTAATCAACTTCAAATTGAGAAAATGTCAAAAACTAAAAACAATCAACTTCAAAATAAGAATAAACAACTTCAAATTGGAATAAACAACTTTAAATTGAGATTTTTTTTGGTAAATTGAAAATTATTTTTTCAATTAATTTACTCCATGAGTAAGGAAATTGACTGTTCGTCTTTATTATATAGATGAAGAAAAAACCAAAATACAAACAACTTAGAGGCCAAGAAAGCATTGGGTGAGCCTACAGTAAAAGTAGGAGGAGAAAATGATGATTGATGATGATGCTGGAGAAACCTCTACAAAAGAAGCTGAATAAGAATTAGCAACAGCTCCAAAGAGAACTTACCTCAAGAAAACTGTGGCTGGTGAAAAAAAAAAAAAAAAAAAGGCCCAGATTTTAGCTGCACATGCCGCAGCAGGAAATTGGAAAGACCTGGCAAGAACAATTGGTGTGCCTCTGCCAACAGCGTACCGTTGGTTAGACCAGGATTCTGATAAGAGTGACTCTAGGGGAGGAGCAAGAAAATATAAAATTACGCAAGTGCATAAGAATTTTATGGCCGAATTAATTGAAAACTCTCCTAGGGTCACTCTTCAAGACAGTGTAAATAAGTTGGTCGAAAAGTATGAGGTTCGTGTGACGAAAGAATGCATAAGAAAGCACTTGGACTCCATGGCCTTTACTTTAAAAGCGGTTCATTATGAACCAGAAGCTGCCAATAATAATGTCAATAAGGCGAAACGTAAGGATTACGCAGTAGCTTTATTAGAATTTCAGTCCCAAAGTGTGCCAATTCTTTATATGGATGAAACCAATTTTAATCTCCATATTTCAAGAAGAGAAGGTCACTCTAAAAAAGGCGCGAGGTGCACTACAGTCGCGGCTGGATCCAGGGGTAATAAGATCCATATTATTGGATGTATTAGTAATAATGGATTAATTTATCATAAAATTAAAAGAGGTTCTTTCAAAAAAGAGGATGCGAAAGAATGGATCAGGGAGTGCCTTAGAAAGGCAAATGAAATTTATGAAAAGGGAGCTGTCTTAGTTATTGATAATGCTCCTTGTCATACTTCAATTGAAGAAGTTGTGAAGGAGAATGAATTTAGGCAACACCAAATTTTCAGACTTACCCCCTATAGTCCGATGTTAAATCCCATTGAAAAGGTTTGGTCAGTCATTAAAGATGACGTAAAAAGAAGTATGGCAGACTCAATTTTAATTTATGAAACATCGCACATGAAACTAGAACAGTCTACCCCAGTGAGCGAAATAAAGGGTTCAGTTCGACATTCCAACCACCTGAAGAAAGCCGGAGGCTACAACGGCCGAAACGTTGTAATAAATATGGCGACAAAGTTGAGGACAATAGTCCGAATAATGTAAATAGTGTACATAATACCTCATCTCAGAAATATAGACAGAAGCCTTCATCCATAATCCGCACAAAGAAAATTATGCTGAAAGTGTGGGAAAATGCTTCTACTCACGCATAATACGCACCCATTGTTTGGTAATCAAACCCTATAAATTATACCTCCCCAATTTCATTACGGCCAGCGCTTCCTACTCTTATTTTAAAAAATGGTTTAAAACATAGAATAATATTATTCTAATTTAGTTTTATGATAATTCTTATTTTATTTTACGTCAATTTTTTCAAGATTTTTTGTAACTGTGCATAATATTAATCCCTGATTTTGCTTATTATGTTTTAGAAAAAATGCGTATTATACATGGGGAATTACGGTAATTGATACTATTGCATATAAGCAGTCTCAAATTCTTATGGGAATTTAAATTAATGGTCTCTTTGGCTTCATGCAGGTGAATAGGAGTTCACTTTTTTGAATAATAAGAATTTTATGTCACAGCGGGGGTGGGGCATTTTCGAGATACTTAGGTGGGGTATGGCAAAAAAAAGTTGGGAAGTACTGGGTTAGCCAGAAGCGACGTAAAACAGAAGTGGGCATTACTACGATTAAATAGGGGCAAAACTTTTGAAAGATTTCCAATCACGAGAGCAGAGAAGATAGCATCCCTTATAAGGAAGAAGAGTGAAATGACTCTATGGGTGACGACGACATGGAAGACGAAAAAACATCTGTGATGCTGACAACATTGATTTTTAAGCAAATGCAGTCTTTGGTTAATGACCCTTGATATGAATCTGACTGAGATAGATAGATAGATAGATAGATAGATAGATAGGAACAGACCAGGATAAATAGATAGATAGATAGATAGATAGATAAATAGATAGATAGTAACAGATCAGGATAGATAGATAGATAGATAGATAGATAGATAGATAGATAGATAGATAGATAGGAAGAGACCAGGATAGATAGATAGATAGATAGATAGATAGATAGATAGATAGATAGATAGATAGATAGAAACCAGGATAGATAGATATTAGCAGACTGAGATTGTTTAGAGCATATAACTACTTTCGGTCATATCGTCCGGAATATAGCAGTGCAAGCGGTTGGAAAAAGTTAATATTTAATTCTTGGATATAATACGCACTGCTAACTTTTAGGTTTAAATATATGGGGAAACGTGCGTATTATACACGAATAATCATGGTACGTTAATATATATTAAAATGCATAATAATTTACCTGAATGCAAAAGGAAACTCTGAGCCGCTCTCATGATTTTCAGAATATTGTTGTGAATCTGAATCCACCGTTGTGTTCCTTTCATCAAAAAGCACAGAAAACCGCGAGCTGGTGTCTTTTTCGGGTTGGTAATTAAAATCCCCGACGACACGATCTGAACTCAGAGCATCACCGGGCTTATCGAACATGGATTGTGAAGTCGACGCCGTCAAAGAAGCCATATTCAGCTGCAATTCGAAACTCACTCTTTCATCTGGGATTTCGTTAGCAGGACTTTCTTGCCTCGCTTCTTCTGTCGGCACAGAAGTCGATCCGAGAGAGAGAGCAGTTTGCAAGCCCTGGTCGCATAATGAAACTTCGTCTGCTTTAAGCGTTTCCCTCGTTTCTCGGAGATAGTTATCGAGCAGGGTCTTTTTCGGGTGTCTCGGATTGGTAAGCTTTTCAGCAGAGATTAAAGGCGGTGCTGAAGGTGTTTGCGTTCGCGTGAACCGAGCAGGTGACATCGGTTTATTGTGTAATGCGTTACTACCGATTTCAGCGTCCTTAGTAGGTACAGAGACTTGGTTTGCGTCTCTGTCTTGTTTAACTTGCTCCGATGGTGCCGTGTGTACGATGCAGTTACGGCAATGCACTTTAGATTTCTTAAAATGCTTTTGCAATGAGAATGGTTCAAAGGCGATGTGCAGATCTTGACATCTGCAAGGAAGCTTTTGATTTTCCTCTAAACTTTCCTTCCTGGCTGACTCGCGCATGAGAATATTCTTTTTAAGGGGACGAAGATTCGTAAACTGCGGCTGTGCGCTTTGGGAGACCACGTTCTCAAACGAGTGCGTCTTTTCCTTGCCCTCATGCTGCTGGGTTGTAAGTAACAGCGCCGTGACACGGTCTTCGGTTTCTGACTTTGCGTCGATTTGGCCAGATTTGGAATCAGTTTTTAAAATGTACATTTCCTGTCCGACGTTTTCTTGGATTTTATCAATCTGGCTCCCGATCAGTAACTCGTCGTCTATGGCAATATCTTTAGGGCCACATGATATAAACAATGTTTCTCGTCTTTCTGGCAGGCTTTCATCGCTTTGTACATCTAAAGCTATTAAGTCTGAGTTTGGGGACTGGAACACCTTAACATTTGGCACCGTCACAAATCCCCTTGCATTGTCTCTGATCTTAGCTTTGTTTTTGCAACCGCAACTGATACCATATCTCTGCTCGTTAGCATAGAGCCCGTTTGATTTTTTATCCATATTCTTGATTCTCTGACTGTTCAAAGAAACACCATTATCCGATGACGTCTTACTGGTGACGTTATCTTTGGTACGTCTCAAAGTTGGATACACGTCAACATTATTTTTTATGTTGTAATTACTGTTGTTGTTGATGTTGGTTATAATTTTTGCATCGCTATTCGCTATAGCTACACTTAAGTCTCCATTCTCATCATCATCTTTATTTTCTACGTTATTTTCATTCAACCTCTTACTGTTTGTATCGCCACTTGGCTCCAATTGTTGAATTAGTTTAACTTCTTCGCTATCATCCTGACATGAGCGCCTGCTGTCGTGATTAACTCCTTTGTTTCCATTTTGAGCGACTTTATTTAACTCTCTGTAACGACTCATTCCCAGCGAACTAATCTCTTGCTCAGCATCTAAAGACTTGCCTTCTTCCTTGTCATTGAATAACACCTGACCTTTCGGCAAGTTAGTGCTATATTTTGGGACTTGTTCGCCAGACGCCCGGCACGGATTACATTCCGAATTGTGTTCCCGTGTGTCTTCTCGTTCGTTTTCCTCGTTGTCAGAATTCCTTCCACGGCAATCGAAGCCTTGGGTACCGATTTTTCTCGTTCCTCTTTCGTAGGCTTTGCAGTAGCCCACTTTTTCGACATGTTCGGAAGTAACCTGTCGACTCTCACGAGCAATGACATCACGTGACCGAGAACTACTTGAATGCACATCCTGGCTCAATTGTGACCTCGGGCAGGATCTATCCAGAAGATCGTGTGGTTTCTCGCCGTCTTCGCGGCACGAATGAAAAGATGGAATTTTCCCTTTGCCCGGTCTGTGTCTTTTATCGCTGGTCAGATCTGTAAAGTTTGCAGTCTCTTGTTCAGAATGATGAATTCTGTGATTGCTAGAGGCTAGCACATTAGCATCATTTTCCTTCTCGGGGTCGTGTTTGTACATTCTCATCTTTCTTCTCTCGCTTTGAGGACGTTTCTTTTGGTAGCTCATGGCACAACATTCTAGGCCGGCTCTGTATAAAGGAATAACTCCTTCGTGGCCATATTTTCCCAACGATACCATCCACTTCTTTCTTAGGGCCAGTGTTGCACTCTCACCGACGTCATTTATAACCTCTGCTCTGGATTTGGGTTGCGGTCCAAGGGTTTGCAACTTGTTTCCTGAAGTTACTCGATACGCAGCCCTAAAAATAAATCAAAGGAAACAATATATCTTTAAAAAAAAAAAAAGACAAAACTGCATTATTCATCTCTGCGAACAGCCCTTCTTTACAACTACAATCTATATCTAGATCATAAAAGAAGAGCTGATTGTCTGTCACACACTGTCTAATGTATACGCGTATGTCTGTGAGTGACTTACATCTGCTTGTGCCATTTAATGTACTCACATACACACACATTTTGACAAACAAGACATCTGAATAATACATTCCTCAACCATTCAGGCTGGATAACCCGTACCCTGAGCTAAGCAATAAAATTATAACGTTAGAGACAAGAAAAAATTGTTTAAACCCTTAAAAAATCAGATAATTATGATATTGGACTTTTTGAAAGTCAGTAATAAACAGTATTTTTTTAAATTTTAATTTTATAAAAATACTACTAGGTCTGTCATTGAATTAAAATATACGTGCTCACATGCAAGTGCATATATACACGGAACTTGAATAAAATTGAAATGGGCATCGGTGTTGCAAGGGCTAATTCCACTTTCTCTTGGTATCATGAAAACAGTATAAGCTGAAATGTGGCACACTTTGAAGTCATATTTTTAAACTCGTGTAGTATTTAAACTGGATATATTTTCTAATAAATGTAGTATTTTAAATGCGCTAACAATTTAGATATTAAATTTGATCATCTCGGGAAGCAACGGGCATCGGACTAGTAATACTAAACGTTTGAGGTTGTATGAATGTCTTTAACGTCTAAGTAGCCGGCGATGACTCAGCGTCGGATAATTGTTAGTGGGCTAATCTGGTTGGTCTTTACTGCTGAGTCGAGAGTTTGATCCTGAGTGGATACCTAATTTGAGTTCAGTAAACCACGACCTGAAAGGACATTTTAGTTTCAGAGAGCTGAAAAACTCAACCAGAACACTCTTATTTTTAATCATCACTTTTATTAAATATTCAGATAACATCAGGTAATATATATATATATATATATATATATATATATATATATATATATATATATATATATATATGTATATATAGATAGATAGATAGATAGATAGATAGATAGATAGATAGATATAAATCTTCTGTCTTCTTAATTGTGGTTCTTTATTGTCTTCTCTTTCTAATAGTAATTTTTTCACATATTCTCTAACACTCATCCTTCTCTTGCATCTTAGTCGCTTTATTGCCATTGATCTTCAAAAATTTAAATGCAATGTCAATCGTTATCGTCTGTCTTCTTAATTATATTTCTTTTATTGTCTTCTCTCTTTAATAGTAATTTTTTCTCATATTCTCTAACATTCAGTCATCCCCCCTTGCGTCTTAGTGGCTTTATTAACTTTGATCTTCAAAAATTTAAATGCAATGTCACTCCCTTGCATCTTACTGATTTTATTACCTTGATTGGGGGGGCATTAAAAATGGATTTTATTAGCATACCAAAAGTATTCTGTTTTGTTTTTTGTTCGTTTTATTTTTTATGGGCTATTACACAAACGAAAAGCATTTACACTTAATTGAATTAGCGCCTGTATTGGGGTGGGGGGTTGAACTTGTAAATTAACAGGATTCTAACTATTAGGGTCAGATGAAACAAGGAGCACCCATCACCCCACACAATGACAATTGAAATAAATTTTCTGACCCATGCTAAGTCGAATTTTGGCCAAAATTCAGAAATGGAAAATATATTTTATTACTATCCACCAGTCTGTCTCAATTCTCTATTGGAGTCACGAGATATAGTGTGACGAGAAGAAAAAGTCGTCCAATCTCTTTTCCTGATCTTGTTACTATTCATATATGCAAATCCACTTGTAAGCTGACCCTTGAAGGAAACATGTTCTTCATAATTCACCACTAGCAGTCGGCAGTTGTGATGAGACACTAGCTGTAGGGAAGTAGTAGTCGACAGTCATAAACAGGTACTCGGAGAATCTAGATGACATCCTCATCACTCTTTGCCACCTTCTCCACCACCCCTTGCAAGAAACCACCCGCGAAGAATTTCATTAAGTGAAGAAATTTCCGCCAGTCTAAAAAGTTTTCGTTTGCCGGGTGGAAAAGTCCGGGACCAGGTCTTAGAAACCAACTTTCTTTGTTTACAGGTAGAAGACAGAAGATCCTGTTTGAATTGTTAGACCGACTACCAGGTAACATTTCAGAGCGTCTTTTATACGATTCGCATATGGAGTGTGAATTTTCAAGCAGCAATTCATGTCATTGTTTAACTGGAAGAGTGATGTATTCCGACAGATATTCGTGGAGCTTGACTAGGGTGTCCTGCTAAACCTGCCGTATCTTCGGTTTACCACTTATTTCGATTCCTACAAAATACACTCAATAAGAACTTCAATTCACTGGAAGCCTGTAAAAGCCACATAAACCAGTTCATTACCCAGAAGATGCTAAGTTTAGGGAGGATAGAATCATGAAGCTGGTTTAAAAATGGCGAAAGGTAGTGGAACTAAATGGCAAATATGCGACTATAAAACTATGTACAGTTAACGAAATACAATCTTTTAAGTTTACTTGAAAACGCTACGAACTTTTGTTCTGACTCAATACAATTGTGATGATGCGATTCCATACCTCACAGCTGTTATGGGGAAACACACCTATTCTATAGTTAACAGACTCTCCCACCTAAGATAAGTAGGAGTAGTAAGAGAAACGAGGGTCACTCAATGTCAGAGGGCACCTCTAGGCGGTGTAATGGTTAGCAACATAACAATTAGAACTGAGTAGTGAGTTCGATCCTCACTGGGTGCCACCTACTTTCGGCATTGTGCCACATCTAAGCTACGCTTAGAAAATCACTTACTAACATCTGTTATGTTTAATTTGATTTATGTTAATATTTTAGTTTATTATTGGGTTCATCTCCCTCCCCTCTCATCCTTCATTATGAGATTTTTATGTATTATTTATTATCATTGAATTTTTATGGCATGGGGCGCGTTTTGTAGGTCCCCCCTTGTGAGGATGTGGTATTATGGTGTAAGGAGGATTGATTGGTGATGGATGAGTTCTTGTGGTGAATGGGCAAATTGTAATGTATGAATGGGTCGTGAATCGAATTAGCTAGGTATAAGATAGTTAGTGAAGACCAGCCTCAACCCCTCCCCTTTTCAGGACTTGTGCCACAATTGTATTTTTCGATACAATAAATATACAGTCAATGTTAGACGACCGGCTGAACGGTTGAACTCTCTGCCTTCGGGCGGGGAGGAATCCGAACGAGGCTACGCCGAAGGGCGTAGTCTCGTTCGGGGAGGTAAACCGACCCTGAACCCGTTTATACGGTTTCAAAGGGTATATATTTGGCCGATCCCACGGGCTCGGAGATCACGCGTTAAACTGGCCTTGTGCCACATGATACCCTCGTGGGGGGTGATAGTCGATATCGGACGACAGTCGAACTCTCTGCCTTCGGGCAGAGAGGAACCCGGACGAGGCTATGCCGAAGGGGGCAGAATTTCGCCCGGGGAGGTAAACAGACCCGATCCCGTTTATGCGGGGTCTACGGGGATTTTTTGGCCGAGCCTACGGGATCGGGAGCCCCACATTAAATTCAGCCTTGTGCCACATGTGACTGCGTGGGGCAGTTACTAAATAGCGTCGATGTCGGACGACAGTAGTCGACAGTTAGCCGAATACGAAAGTAGTCAGCGATCACAAGATTACTCTGCGTAATACCTATTATATCAAGTTCCTAAAGTTTTGTACGTCGAACTTATTTAAGACCGATTTAGTACAAATACAAGCCTCCACTGCGAAATAACTCCACAACATCGCACAAGCTGTGATGACATCCAAGCTTGGCTGAATGCGAATACAAAGCGTCGCTCGCTATGTTCACGTGTTCGTCTCAATATTAGGGCCGTGATCGACAAATGCTTTTCAAGACTCTGGTTGGGAAGTAGCAAAAAATACGATTTATCACTTAATCGGCAATGTCTTCATTCGGCTTCGAGAACGCGAACTTCTGTTATCTCACTAACTTCCGGACACGGAAAAAGGACAGTCTCACTGGCCGTTTTACTGACTGACTGTCGGTCCTTTCACTGACCACTCGTTATGGATACTGGCTAGGGGACCCATCACTCCTTTCCGTCCACTTGTGTTCCAACAGCCAAAAAGGATGACCACCAAAAAAGCTTTTGGGTGGTCAGTTTTTTCAAAGTACAAGACTTTTATGGCTATCTAAAATCACTAACAAAATTTTATGTTTGTCAATTCAAAGGTGTGGTGGAGCCAGGATTCCTGAAAAACCCTAGTCATTAAATTTACTTAAAAGGAAACAAAACCTACATCTTCATCTCCGAAAGAAATCCCAGTGATACTTTATTTTCGTCTCGTTGAATATTTTACGTTGATATGTGAATAAAAGTCAAAATTACTCACTGTTTATAGAACTGGTGTTTCAGTTTCTGGTAATCCCACAATTGTTCTTGATAGTTTTGTATCGGACGTAGGGGCAAAGTAGGTTCGTCTGCTTTCGGTGCCGAGGCTTCTGGATCTACACTGCACGAACTGCCGCTTTTCATCAGGGATGACGAAGAAAGATTCTGCAGATTGTTTCGCCAGCGCAAATGAATAAGACAAATGGATTAAAGTAGAAGCTGACATTTATTAAAATCTAGTCAAGTTTTTCGTGTCTCCCGAACATTTCTCAGATCAATTGGAACATTTACTCAAATAAGTTGTATCCACCAAAATAAAGTATAATAAATAGAAAATATATTAAAAA